TATACAATATTTACACAATCCAGAGCCACTTTTGTGTCTACTGACACACATTTGCCACACATTTTCTATGGAAATAGCAATAGAGTAGTGATAAGCTTACAACATTGCATCTGTGGAAAAAGGTTTGTAAGGTGGAAAATAATTTATTGCCTACAAGGCCACAAAAATGCAAGGCTGGAAAGAGAGTATTGGACAGCAGCTCCAGGACCACAGGGTGTTTGCACCATCAGCCTTGTGATATGCCAAAGTAATATTAGTAAATATCAATATTTAAAATCAGAGACAAAAATTTGTAAATGGTGTCTCAAAAACTAATGAACTAATTCATTACATGATCAAGTAGCCATCATCTTTGAAGATATTTGTTCTAAGTCACACATAATCAAACATCTTTCAGGCTTACAGCTATATCACATTCAAACACCAGTTTCTTTACAATCATTGAAGTTAAGCAATGTTGAGCTTGGACAGTACCTAGATGGATGACTGCTTAAGAATATCAGGTGTTGTAAGTTTGGATGTGCAGGTGGTGCAATGGATAATGGCTTAGAATTGTTAACTGGAGAGCTGAGTTCCAATTCCAGTTGGGTTTGTTATATTCACTTATGTGCAAATATACTTGTTAAATGTGTGAATCCCCATCTTCTTTCCCCACTATGGATTAATTAGTAAAACTTGTATCACTAAATTATTATTATCTCCAAAAAATTCTTACAATCTAAAAATATTTTCTGGCTTTAAATAACATGCAAAGGGTTGATAACCCATAGAAAATGAATGAATCAATCAAGCATCATTCATGCCTGAAGGCATTTATTTCCTGTAGCAAATTGCATCAATATATTTCCTGGTAGAAGACATTTATTCTTTGTCATCAAGCCATTTAATAATTATCAGTGTGTATTTATTTATATATTTTCTATCCCATCTTCATTGGAAAGAGTTGTAAATCAACTTAAGTTAGTAAATTTATGAGTGATTACTTCCTTTATGGATTTTAATAATCTATACAAATAAAATATTTATCTGCATTTAGGCAAAATTAGTTCCTGAGCAAAATGAACTGCTTAATTAATCAGTTTCTTTACTCCTACATTTCTTAGATTGCAGTCTTATTTGTTCAAGCCTTTCATGTGAAGCACAGATACTTTTGTCCATTAAATGATTGTCTTGCTTCAGCTTGGTCTTGAAATAAGCTTTGTCATTCTGTTGCTAATCTTTTTCTTCTGAGAATATTTACATTTCACTGTTATATTAAATGCATAAAATTCTTAACATGAAAAGACATTGAGCAAAATGCAATTTATATATTACCAGGAGTAATCAATGAATCATAGATTTCATTGAATGCCAAAAAGATATAATGGAAAAGGACTAATTAAATGGTTCTTTGGCCTCTATTTTAATTGTGAACTCTTTATCTCCACTTTATTGAATCTCAGTATATTGTTTCAAGACTTTTTGTTTTCTTGCATCTCACTATTAAAACTTTCTAACAATTGCCATCATCTTTGATGGAATAGGTACACTTGTATTATATAATCAAGCATCCATCATAGTTGAATGCATATATTTTTGCAACAAATTGCATCAACATATTGTCTGGTGAAAGATATTTCTTCCTAGTCACATATTACATAATCAAGTATCCTTCAATAAAAATATATATTTTAAAAATAAAAGATAAAATATATTTTTTATCATTTGTACTTCCAGAAACATGTTGTGCCCTATATTTCTTTGGAACTTGTTGGTACAACCAAGAGGGGTCCATGTATTCTGGGTAGCACATGCTCTCCATATACCATCACCCAGACCTGCACCCTGGAGTGGTCACTTGATTTTCACCATCAAAGGACTGAATTTTGTCCAATGAGGGTACTATCTTTATCTTGCAAGATAAACAGATGCCTACCTACTACAAATTGCCTGAATTAGTCATCAAATAATATAGTGTTAACTATATTATAAAATAATATAATAAATAGTATATTATTTGATGACTTATAAAATAATATAGTTAATACTATATTATTTGATGACTAATTCAGGCAAAATATAGTAGATAGGCATCCATTTATCCCACAAGATAAAGGTAGCACCCTATTTGTTCAAAATTCAGTCCATTAGTGGTGAAACTTGAGTGACTACTCTTAGGTGCAGGCCTAAGTAATGGTATAAAGAAGCCATACACAGCTGAGACTACAATGTCCCCCTCACAGTTGTACTGACAAGATCCAAAGAAATACAGAACATTACATTTGGGGATGGCTTCACTGCAGGAATTCCCTGAAAAATTGTCAATGTTGACAGCCAATCACCTTTGAGGCTCCACTCCAGGTTTTCTATCTGGATTTACTTCCATAGTGTTTTCCATGTTTGGATATCACTGCAAGGCAGCAAATGCTTAAAACCAGGATTTTCCTTCCCCTAGATGGACTGCCTTCCTGGACGACCAATATCCTGAAGCAACTGGTTATGAGGTGTTAGTTTTCCATCTTTACCCATTCTCCAGTTTGGAGCAGGACTTAGTTGTCTAAAGCTATTTGAGACACATGACATGGAAGTATTTTATAGAGAGTATGAGCTTCTCTTCCCTATGACATTATATAATATACCATTGACATTGTATCCTGCTAATCTCAATCTTTTTATTATCAATTATCCTCCACTGATTAACCAATCCATAATTGATTATATTAATTGATTTTTTTCAGTCTTTTATATGTTTTGCTAATATTCATTTCCTTCTTGGAATTGCTACCTATAAAGAATTTTAATATTTTTTATTTTATTTTTTTGATATTATCAACAGTCAATGAACTAAAGCTATATTGGCTATAGAGTCTTTCTTTTTAACTTTTTTCTTGCTGCCATAGTTGATGATTAAGATAATGATGGACACTTTTATCTCTTTTAAAAGTCATTACAAATGTCAATATAAATGAAAGAGTCAATACAAAGGTTAATGTCAATCTTGCAAAATAATAATTTTTCCATGTTTGCTTGTGTTGTAATACCACAAATGATGCTACAGAAGACTTGTGGTGAAATGAAGGTCGGGGTTCAGAATATTGTCTGAATTTGTGTACAGGACTTGTTTGGGCAGTTTCCAGACTGAGTTGCTTCCATTTGGATTTAGAATTTCTGTAGTCCTTTTGATACTTGTTTCAAGCTATTAAACTCATGTATAATGCTTGGTTAAATACTAATAGTAAAATTATTATTGTGGTACTGCCTCAATGTCTTTAATATTACACTATTATAGAATTATGTAAGAATCAAACCAATGCAGAACTTTAACTATCTGGATAGTGTCATAACAGACAACAAAAATTGTGATATATTTAGTCAGACTGACCACCCAACCAGAAATGGGAGCTATTCCTTATTTAAATATATACATTCTTACTTTTTTTGTATACTAACATTATTTTATTTTAAATTTTTTTTTTTTTTTTTTTTAGCTTTTTAATCATTTCATCCCAAGTAAGGAAATAATGCCACTAAGACATAAGGGGTTATATTAAGTATTAGATAATATGAGAAAAAAACTAATATTAAGGAGAGAGAACAATAAAAGAATGACAATTAAGAAGACAGAAGATAATGATTGATATTGCAGATTTTGAAGATCAATGTTGACTGAGAAGCAAGAAGCCAGAAGAAAATTCCACAAGTGAGAAGTGTGATAGAAGAAACTGTTAATGTAGAACTTACAGTTACATTTAACCATTTCAACTGTAAAATGATGCAAACATGCTGGCAGTCTCATACTGTGCTTAAATTCATAAAATGTAGGTACCATACAGGAAACTTCATCAGAAGAATTACCATGAAAGTATTAATAGAAAAGGAGGAAGGAAGCTACATTAAAGCAGGGAAAAAGTAACTGAAGCTGAGATGCTAGGTCAGGACCAATAACATTGTACATTTTTTTTTTGGGGGGGGGGGGTATCAAGAATCTCTAAATATATAACAGGAGCACCAGTCCAGATGTGGCAGCAATATTCAGTGCATTAATGAATGGTAGACTTATAAATATGTGACATAGATTTTGGTGAGAAAAATTGTTTAGTACAACAACCGTGCTGATGGAAGGTAAAAAGGAGAGCAGCTTCATGTTGGAGGCATTAAAATTAACAAGCCATTCTTTGCCCCAGTTAACAACAGAATATAGATCATTTTTTTAGATGAGCTGCCAATTTGAGTTTATTGAACCAGTCAGACTTACTATTAAGACAGGAGAAAATAGTTGTGTTATCAGCATAGATACCGACTTGAGAACTGATGCCATTAGGAAGATCATTGATGCAAAACAATGTAAGTCCAAGGATAGAGCCTTAAGGGAGACCTGCATTAATGAAGAGTAGCAGTTCAAAACTACTTTCAGTTCAGGATTTGATGAGAAAGACCAAATCAGTTCAAGAATTTATTCAGAAATATCATGACCTTTCTAATTGTGAAGACCAATATGTCAAACCCTTTCAAATGCCTTTCAGATATCCAAAGCAACAGCCCAAACTTCACCATTCTTATCTAAAGCATGATAGACTCTTCCAGCAATAACCTAGAGAAGTGAAAGCCATATTGATTATCTGAAAAATGATCATGTTAAGGGAGATGCTTAACCAATTCAGAGTTGATTAGAGCCTCTATTATCTTGCCAAAAAACAGTAGAAGTTGAAGGATCAGATGATTCACTTGAATACCTCTCCAACTTTCAACCCAGATATTGGCAAGCAGCCAAGACATATGGACAGCCCTGTGACCACATGCAGTCATGGGACTGGTGGTGATTTTGATGATGATGATGATTTGGACAATAATTTAATGTTCTATCTATTCTAAATAGTATCAGACTATAACTAAATGCGATAAGCTACAATGCAGTAACAATATTAAGTGGTCACTTTTATATACTTTATTTAATTAGAGAGCTTTAAACAAATTTTAAAGGCTAAAATTATTGTTGCTTTTTTACCCATTTTTCTTCACAGGAGTCCCATATGCATTAAAAAGAGCTGGAATTGGACTTGGAATTGTAATTATATTAGTTGCTGCTCTTGCATCAGGTAAGTCACATTGTTTATTAGTTTTTCTCTCTTTACCAAAAAAATAATCACATATCTCAGGATAAAAAGGATTTTATTGTTTTCCTTAAATTCCATATCCCTTTAGGATGGAAGCAAATATGGCTCTTCACAGTTTTCTTTTATTTACTGTAAACTGTGAATTGCATTTCCAGTTTTGTTTCTGGGAAAGAGAGTGAAGAGGTTTCTCATTGCCTTGTCCATACCAATAAAATACTCAGAAAAGAATGAAACAGATTACTATGATATTGATACACTAATAGACTTGTGTCAATTATTTCAGGAAACATGAACATTAAAATTCCATTTACAAATATTCATAAGGCATAAACATATAAGAAGGAGTTTATAAAAGTTAAGAGAAAATTTGCTTCTGCTAACAACTTCATTTTACTTAAGATAAATTAGGGGGTTGGTAAAAATAAAAAAATACAAATAAATTTAAGGGGTACCATAATCAAATCTGATCTTAAAGCATTATATTTGATTACATAAAATGTGCACCTGAATTTTACCACCAATATGGCAGAAAAACAACTCCCAGATCTTACATACGACGTGATGTGGTTTCCCTCTGTCTTTTGTGCAAATATTTTCATGCCAACGGCTCTGACAAGCTTTTTTCCCTGGTACACCAACTACATGAATTTAAGCATGCTACTAGATTGGCAACTAGGTCCCAATGTTTTACTGTTGAAATAATTAAATACAACTGCCACTTCTACTCTAACGGTTTTTTTTTCTTGCACTCCCCACTTATAGAACCACTACTATGTAGAAGAGACTCTTATATAGATGCTTCCCTAATCACTACAATCTTAACCTCTTCAAGTTTCAGGTCAACTGTTATCCACATTCAACAGCCTCATTCAATAACCATTCTACCTTGAGTGACTCTTTGCCTTGTAGTGGGTGAACAACAGTAAAAAAAAAAAGTGTTTCATCTGGATCATGGATCTCTTATTGCTTACAATGATTGCTCTCCTAAAGTGGTCACCTATCTAAGTATTGAGCATGGCTATTGCTGCTTAACTTCATTAATATAGTAAGAACTGAGGCTTTCAGTATATTTTTTTCATCCAACACAAGGCTCAAGAGTTACTCAAGGTAGAGGGATTGTAACAATATTTAATATGGCATACAAACAAAAAGGGTTAAAGAAAATGATTTTTTTTTTTTTGTCAGAAAGGAATTCATTTTCCCAGGATATTGAGAACAGTTTGAAAAAGTTACCCAATATGATTGTTACTATTCAGCAAGACAAAGCTGGCAGGTATAGGGGCCAGAGGTTAAAGTTGTCTGTTGAAAGTTGTCAATGTCTACATACTGGGAAAATGATCAGCCAAAATTTCCCGAGAAAAAATTATAATTGTGAAAACAGAATAAGCAATTGTGAAGGCAGAAGATGACATCAGGAAGGCTGACGTGATATAATAGCTCTCCTGAAAAAGGAGGAGATCTTCCAAAATTGTAAGTGTAAAACAGAAAGCGAAAGAAAGAAACTGGTTGAATTTTAGGAGATTTGCATAAAACCCACCTATTTGCCGGGACCACACACAGTTGGAAGGAAATACAAGTGCCCACAGGGGCTAAAGTAGTTGGAGCAGTTGGAGTTGAGGTTGCAGTTCAGTGTTGCAGAAGCCGCATCGGGGAGTTAAGAGATTTTTACACTGTTTTGCCAACCTAATAATAATAATAATTGTCTGCTGAAGAAGAAAGACTCTAACGATAAACCTTGTGCTGTTCTAGAAAGTACAAACCACAATACTTGAAGATAAATCCAGTTGTCAAGTCTGGCCACCCTTAAAGAAGTTAGCTGAAATTTTCATTCTGTCACCAAATATTAGGAACAGGTTGAGAAAAGAAGAAAAAAGAAAAAAAAAGAACTGTAAATATTTTTTTTATTTTGATATAAACACCATATACTGACTTATTCAGGCATCGTTTATCTTATTTTCAATTTTGTGTGTGCATATTCAACTCCTAGGTTTAACTTGGTCGAGATACCCCAGTGATAATTCAGCTTTATCCTCTTAAGATCAAAAATCACAACATGGGTAGAGAGGTCATAGTTGAAGAGGTCAACTTAAAGACCAGCTGCAGTGTCAAATGCTATCAATATCATAGAATTACTTTTAAAATAGTAACAATGAATGAGGTGTGTGATATGAATTAAATAGAACTTGCTAGCAAATAAATATAATGAAAATAAGGAGGCTAGATAAAGATCAACATATAACTTAAATAGGTTAAGATTGTATTGTTTGGGGAAGTACTCATTCAGGAGTCTCTGCCACAAAATAGCAGTTATTAAAAAAATCTCTCTGAATGGGAGTCACGTTTTACTCACAACAGCTTAATTTGGGTACAAGGCCACTAGAATTGAGTATCAAGTGAGGATCAAAGTTATTACGCAGTAATAATGTCATGTAAAACTAGCTTGCTAATCATTATGCTATGGCAAGGGATTCATGATTTTATGTTAAGTAGATAAGAATTTAGAAGTTAAAAAAAGGTAAAATCAATTGTATTGTTACCACAACTAAGAAATACCTGTCTCCACCTTCTGAGAAAATTCAATAATAGCAGACAATCTATTGTACAATAAAGCCTGTCTTGCAGTAACTGTTTGTGATCTCTTATAGCGAGGTTGAATAAATACATTTAAACCCAATTAAATACAGAAGAGAATTGAATTTTGTTTTGTTTTTTGTAGAACAAGAAGTAAACATTTTGAAAAGAAAATTGTCATAGTACACTTAGTTTAGAATTTTATAACAGTTTTCACCTTTTATTGCAACAGAATTTTTAAAAAATGACTTATACAATTCCTGCTTTGAAAATGAATAGCAGTAAATGCTGGTGTATAGTTAGTAAAGAGACATGTTTCTACCTTTCATCTTAAAAAAATTAGAATTTACTTACAGAAATAACATTTATTTTATTTTGAAATGAATCAAAAGACATCTGTATGAGTAACAATGAATTTATATATACTGGCTTAAAAATTGTTATGGGCTCATAATTACAATTTGATCTTTGATGATATATGATGACAAAAAGGAAAATATATTTTGTGTATAGAGATAATATATGATCACAGTAAGGAGTACAGAAAGTCCTCAGGTTATGTCAGACCTGACAGATGGCATTTCATGGTTACGGCACTATCTCCCATAATATAATACATTGTCATGTGGCGCTATATGAAGAAGACAGTGTTGTTTCTTCACTGGCTGTATGCCATATTGGATTGTGGTACACTTGCTACCTCTCATTTGTGTCATTTTTTGGGGAACTTTTTACCCTTCTTTAAAGCTCACAAGTGTAAGGGAAACTCATGGATGCTTATGTAGGTGAGTTCCAATCTGCATCATTAATCATGTTATGTCATACCATAAGAACGAATCTTTAATTTAAGTCAAGGACTCCTGGTATATATTTTGTATTGGTATAATATATGATCACAATAAGGAGTATATATTTTGTGTATAGGCATAATATATGATCACAATAAGGAGTATATATTTTGTGTATAGACATAATATATGATCACAATAAAGAGTATATATTTTGTGTATAGACATAATATATGATTACAATAAGGAGTATATATTTTGTGTATAGACATAATATATGATTACAATAAGGAGTATATATTTTGTGTATAGACATAATATATAATCACAATAAGGAGTATATATTTTGTGTATAGACATAATATAGGATCAAAATAAGGAGTATATATTTTGTGTATAGACATAATATATGATCACAATAAGGTGTATATATTTTGTGTATAGACATAATATATGATTACAATAAGGAGTATATATTTTGTGTATAGACATAATATATGATCACAATAAGGTGTATATATTTTGTGTATAGACATAATATATGATCACAATAAGGTGTATATATTTTGTGTATAGACATAATATATGATCAAAATAAGGAGTATATATTTTGTGTATAGACATAATATATGATCACAATAAGGTGTATATATTTTGTGTATAGACATAATATATGATCACAATAAGGTGTATATATTTTGTGTATAGACATAATATATGATCAAAATAAGGAGTATATATTTTGTGTATAGACATAATATAGGATCACAATAAGGTGTATATATTTTGTGTATAGACATAATATATGATTAGAATAAGAAGTATATATTTTGTGTATAGACATAATATATAATCACAATAAGGAGTATATATTTTTTGTATAGACATAATATTTTGGTTTGGGACAAATGTTTGTAGCATTTTTCAGTAGGTGGCATGTGAACACATGGTTCTGCAGTTTTATTATACATGGGAATGAAGTTTATAACAATTATACATATTCTGAAATGTGACATTTCAATGTACCTTTCTATATTATTCCGGTTTGGATTATGAAGTTTAAACATTTGTATGTTAAAAGAAAAAATGGAAGAAATGAAATGTCATTTTCATCATTCTCTGCTCTTTTATTTTTGGAAAGGAAAGTACTGTCTGTAAATTGTTTGCTAGGTTCAGAAGTAGAAATTTAGATCTCTGTTCAGAATTGTCCAATTCAAAGATTGTCATCTTCCATGGGACAATGCCAGATTTCACATCTCTTTGAAGCCCTGGCTGAAATTGATACATCTTTGCTGGAAGGTTCTACTGCACTCACTCTATTCACCTGACCTTTCATTTTGGATTGCCATTTATTTTGACCCTTACAAAATTATCTTAATGTGAAGAACTTCATTTCTCAGAAAACACTCAAACCATTTCATCACCCAGAAAGATGTTATGTTCTGAGAGGAAGAGACTGCTTCAAAGTTAACAAAATAGAGGAAATATCTAAATATTGTCTTTGAAATTCAATAAAAAAATGCTACAACCTTCTGTGCAGAACTAGTACAAGTATTATAAGTAGTATATACAAGGTGTCTCCAAAAATTGACATCATTTTGCAGTCTAATAATTTAGCTAATTCTCACTCAAATGATCTCAAATTTTAACAAAATGTGTAAAAAATTAAGTTAACTGTGATCTCAATGAGAATCTACCAGAAATATGGATCAGGCATGCCAGTGATAATGACAATGTGCTGTTGAAATGACCATTATGTTCATCTGACTTGACACCTTGTGATTTTTTTCTATGAGGCTATGTGAAAGAACATGTCTAAATCCTCCTCTTCCTACAAGCCTCGAAAAACTTAAGCAGAGATTCATTGAGGCACTGGGGAATGTTATGCAAGACATGCTTACAGGGTATTTAGCAGGAGCTGGACTACTGACTTTACATGTCATGTCACAGATGGTGTGCATATTGAAAAACTTTTTTAGTGAAATCTGTTATAAAATCTACATCCCTTTAAATATCCTGTTCTGATTTTGAAAAATAAATTTTTTATTATCCAACATGAAGTCTATTTAATTTTGTTTGCCTTGGACATGTAGTTACCCAGACATTCATATTTTAAATGATGTCAATTTTGGGGGAACACTTGTTATTCTTCAAAAGATTTTCAGCTGCTTCTTTGATCTCTTCCCTATTAATAATATTTACTCAATACTCCAAGGAATTAGGCATCAGGACACTTTACAAAGCCCTGTTTTAAAATAGAACATTTGTCATGAATGTGAAATTTCAAATGTGTTCCAAAGAAATTCTGCAGAGTGTGTCACCACTGAGAAATGGTTAGCAAGCTCACTCTCCAATCATTAAAATTGTCATGATTTCAGTCCTTATTGGATGCTTCACAACTGTGGCTTTGTACCAGATTAAACTCAGCTTAGCAAGGATTAAATAAAATATATGCTTTATTCATTATGCTTTATGTGCTGCTACACAATCCTTCATCAGATCCTATACACTGATGTTGCAAAATTATAAACAAGGAGTTTTACCAAATAAAATAAACACAAAACTTGAAAAATTCCAACAGCAGCAACAACAAAAATGATTAGCACACATAATCAGAAGAGAAAACAATGATATAACCAAGCTTTTAATTTTTCAACATGACTAAAAACAAAACATTTGAAAAGAAACTCTCATCAGTAGTAAGAACAGTTCTAACAGTTTGTAGAAGTGAGAAGTTTAATTTCCTGAAAAAAATGTTTTAAGAAAAAGATTTTTATAAATTTTGACAATAACACTAACTATTTAGTCAATAAAGGTTGAATGTTTCAGGCATGGAAGTAGATAATTTTAGCATTATCATTAATTTTACAATTGCATTATCACTGAACTAATCAGACCAAATAGACTGGCCCTACAAAATCACAAAGAGTTATACGAAACAATAAAAAACACCTTGCTTGAACACTTCCAAGAGCAACAACAACAAAAATGGTTAGCACATATAACCAGAAGAAAAAATAATGATCAAGCTGTTAACTGTTCAACACTACTGAAAACAAAAGGTTTGAAATGAAACTCCCATTGTTATTAGAAAGAGCTATAACAGTTTGTGGACATGAGAAAAACTGTTTTAAGTAAAAGATTCGTTAAATTTGAAATGATAGCAACACTAATTGGTTAATGGCTAATTTTACCATTACCCTTAATTTTACCGTTACCATTGAAACATTTGTTCCAGCTCTTTAATCTGATTTCATTCCTATTTTGATTTCTGACTGACAAACAAGCAGATATTTGCTTCAATATCTATAAATGATTTCAATTTTATATAATAATCTTTACTTGCTACAATCATTTCATTATTGATATTAAATTCTTTTTTCCTGTTATTTCTTTGTTCTATTTTAGACTATGCTATTCTACTTCTCATTGATGGAGGCAAATTGTCAGGTGGCTCTACATATCAGGTTTGTCTTTATTTTTTTTGTTTCACTTATTTTTTTTTTTAAAGCTGTGCTCTTAATTGCAGTCAGCATATAAGATTGTATTGATTAGCTTCAACGCCATAAGTGAATTGGACTTGCATGCAAATCTTTGTTATTTGCTTATTTAATTGGACTTTAATCGGCTATCTTTCAACAGAACAAGATTTACACAATTTTTTTTTTTTTCATTTCTAAAATGAATATTTGAAGCACTTATGTCAAGTGTTTGAATATTAACATGTTGTAAAAAAGGTTCTTTTTTTTTTTATATATAGTCCTGATAGGAGGAGAACTTTTATGTCATAGATCAGGGATGGACAAACTATGACTTAAGCAACATTTTAACATGTAATGTGCAGTTCATGTAAATATGTTGATTGAGCTTCTTTACACATCATAATTAATATAAAAAGTAAATAATTATAAAATTTCAAATTATATAAGTATTTACTTGGTATACTTTCTAACCCCACTAGATTGAAAACATAATACATATGTGGTAAGTATATTAATCATCTCATAATGGTAAGTGTTGCTGCTGTGGTTTCTGTAGCAAATAGGTTTTTACAGTGTGGTGTTACTAGCAGCACACATAACATCATTCAGAGTTTTCCTTTTCTTAGGCTGGTTGCCAGCCAAAGTGAAAAAGCCTAGTCTGCCATGCTATTAATCTCTACCTGAGGGAAAAAAGAGGTATTTGTATGAAAACTGATGTAATGGAATAACTCGGCACCCCCATGAATAATTACACTATAGGTAGTAAATACCTATAAAGTCAACTGTCTACGAGAGACAGGGGAGTAGTGAGAGGGAGAGGGAGTGAGAAGACGCAAGTACATCCGACCTTCCAGTTAGTGGCGCTCACTATTAGATTGACCTGTGTGTATAACAGTACCGTATTTCATATTGTACTTGTTGTGTACAATAAACTTTTCTTCTAGTATCCACCTGGTGTTACTTATTTATTCCCTTAGCACAGAATATAACAGTTCCGATGAGGATTGTTGGAAATTAACAAAAACAAATGCAACTGCCTTAGCTGAAATTTGAACTCAATGCACCAGTTACAATTTCTGTGCTGATAACTAATAATACACTATGCACATCTTCAACAAATTATAACATGGTTAGTTAAAATATTTAAAAATTTAAATCATAATTTGTGTGAGGCATTGTTTGGTTGGCAACCATTTGAGGAGGATGACTGAACTCAAAGCTATGAACATGATGGGTATTGTAGAATTATTAGTTGTTGAAGGGATGTTGGGAGGTTGGCACAAAATGTTGGTTTTTACATTCAAAATGAATGAAGACTTGGTGAATATTGTTTTGGAATGTTTTGTTTTTTTTAATACAAATGCAAACTTGTATATTTCTTGTGAGACAGAGAGGGAGACCCCACCTTCTTTGCTCAGGGAAATAATGGTGGAAAGCAGGATTTTAAAAAAATTAGGCTAGCATATGAACACTTACATCTTAAAACTCTCAAACATTGAAAATATATTGTTTCACTGAATGTGACCAGTAAGGTAAAAATCTTTTTAGTTTTCTATTAAATTAATTTTTTTTAATGTTCTTACAGTTTTCATTTTGGAAGAACTAAGGGAGTGCAGAAACTGTCTGTAATTCTTATTGTCCCAAGCACTTTTGGACAAATCAAGGAGTCCATCATTAATGTTTGTGTTCTAAGGTGTATTGTATAGAAGTAGCAATAGTAATAATCTTAGGTTGTGTGTGAGGATATTTTAATGCGTCTTCTTAGCAAACCTCTGTGATTAGTGGCAGATCTACTATGAAACTAATGAATCTTAAGTTTCAGTGCCCCTAATTCTTGAGGGGCTCCTAAAGTGACTTTTTTAATGAATGAATTTTTCAACAAAACTGATGTTTATTTTTAAAGTGTTTATTATTAGAATAAGGCCATTTTAGTGATAGAATCCTAAGCCAATGGGCATCCTGGGTAAGACGTTAAACTACATCCACATCCTGGGTAAGACGTTAAACTACATCTGCATCTTGGGTAAGACGTTAAACTACATCCAGCAGCAAGGCCTCTGATCAGGAGTTTTGTGGAGTGTGGAACCACCTCTTAATTGCTGGTGTTCCCAGGTCCACCCTGACCCGGAGTGGTAGCACCTGTTAGGGTCCCAGCTATGGGCAAATAGTTAACTATTACCAGCAATACTTTTTTGAAAGAAATTATTACCAGCAATACAATTTTGAAAGAAATATATTACCAGAAACAGATTTTTGACAAAACAAAATATTACCAGCAATGAAAATTTTTGTCAGCATTAAATAACCCATTGAGGTTGATATGCCATAAAACAAAATATACCAAACCCTAAGCCAATGGGTTGAAGTAGCTAATGTTGGCCTTAGAATATGCTCTAATACCCATTTCATATAGCCTCAAAATTCCTCTGTAATTGGTCAAATTTCAAAATTTTCCTGGGGGCTAGCAGTGCCCAAATCCCCAGCTTTATGTGTTCATTGGGCTTGTCAGAATCTCTTCATAGCCTACATTTTGGCAGTTGGGTCCTTGCATCTATTGTTACTGGTTGCGAAGAGGCTTCCATATCTGTTCAAGCTTCAAGGCCCAAAAAATGTAGGTCCACCACTGCCTGTAGTAAAAAAGAGAAAACAATCCTCAATGTAAGGCTTGATTCAACATAAAACCATAACACCATTAGAACAGTGTCAGTAAACCATACTGAAAATGTTAGGAAAGACCATTCTTTAAATATCTAAATAAGGCAGCATCTAACAAAGAGAGTTCATTGAAATAAAACATTCCAACTTCATGACAACCTTCCAAAACACTATTCTAGATAAATGTGTCAGCAGAAACTAAAAATTATAGAAGCTTTTTATATTAAATAATTCAAGCCAAGCATCAACCTCACTTTATTTAAAAAGACACACTAAGTCATAGCTACATTAAAAATATTAACAATGAACTCAATGAAAATGGCTAATGAACTGACAGAAAGTGCTTGGAACAATAATAATATAATTTTAAGAACATTAGAAAAACTTCATAAAAAAAACTTATAAGATTTTTCTTCTTTGTCACATTTGATGAAACATGTATAAAAGAAAAGTTGCTGCCCAAATATACAATATTAAAATGTATTTTATATGGTTCTTAATTTAAGCATATTTAGTGATTCCTTGTTATAGATAACTGAAATTTTTTGAAACATGTATTAATTTTTTAAACATGTATTAATTTTTGTACAACAGTACTTATTGTAGTAGTCGAGTCTTATAAATAATTGAGAATGGTGTCTGGTTACCTCCTCCTAATTTTTGAAACTACTACTTGGGGATGCTTTCCAGTCTATAAATACTCGGTGATATCTTTTCTTGCCCTCTTTTTCTCTTTTTTCCTCATATATGTCAACATGTAAATTTCTTGTGGAAGAACACGTTCCCTTTTTGGGACTTGAACAATACACACAGACACATGTATGTATACACCTTTCACTTCATTTTTTTCTAGGACTTTCTCCTACACCACAAAATTACACATATGCAAACAATTCACTAGTTTAAATGTTTTCTCCATTCATGTTCATCGTTCAGTAACACAACAATATTCTATTGTATATGTAACCCTTCATTGTTAATACATTATCATTTGTTTGTACACATGTATATTGGTCCGTGTTGTTTCTTTTTTTAAATTTTTTTAAGTGGACTCATACTCTGAGTCTACCATATTTGTTGTGGGCATTTCAGGAGACACATGTGTTTATCTCTCAATGCGTGCACCTGCCCACAACAATGGAATCAATCCTTGCTGAATATACTAGAAAAGCAATTTAATACCATTATCAGATTTGGGAGGGCATTCCATATCTGTTGCAGGCTGTCAGAGGATTAGTGAAGCCTATGAATGAGAGTCAATGACAAGAAGAAATGATTTTGCAACCAACAGTGACATTAACTTTACAGAGCTTCTACTTTTACTTTTTCTTCAATTCTTTTTCTGCGACTTCTTCAGCAGGAGAGGTTTTCTGATGGATCCTGTGCCCCCATCTCACTCTGTTACCTGCTTCTGTTTATCTCTGACTCTGGTTGAGACCAGATGAGGTGAGGGTCCTTTACAAGGAGTTCTCCCTAGTGAGGTCAGAGACTAGTTCACCAAACAGAAACATCTTTGGATTATGATATTCTTCCATCAAAATAGCCTGTTCTTTGCTATTAGGTCTTTTCTAATATTGCTTAACCTGACAAATAACTAAATTCACAAAAAGGACAATAGGAAAAATACTTCTTCATCTGATATGAAAAGTGTTAATAATTTCAGATTGTTACAATTTTTGAACTTAGAAACAATAAAAGTTCAAATTTAAACAGTTTAAACTGTAGGTTTTTTGCTAGCTAAATTTATATGCAAAAGAAAATATAAATATTACTTTGTGTAAAACAATGCCCTCAAACACACAGAAAAAGTTCTATAATCTATGTTTTAACTCACTCCTAGCAGTTATAATATTATGTCCTGCTTAGGCTAATCACTGCGATGTCATTAGCAAATTCAATCAACTGACTGCAACAGACTTCTACTGACTCATTTTGAGTTCTTTATTTGCCTAGTTCATTTGTGTTACCAGAGGTGTCTTATTTACTTCACAAAAACCTATGACCTTCACCTTTAAAAGATATACCTCTTTGCTAAAGTTCAGCTTTCTCAGTACAAAACTGTGGCCTACAACTTTGAATATACATATATATACAATGACTTGTGCATTCGAGCCTCACTGGGTACCCAATACTTTTAGCCTTGTGCCACATCTAAGCCATGCTTAGAAAATCACCATATATATATTGACTTTTATATTTAGAGATTAAACATTTAACTGCTGCATTGCCATTGAAGATTTTAGTAAAAATTTCACATAAAAGAGAATGCTGAACTGCTAGAAGCATTGATTTTTGTGTGAAAGTCAAATCAAATTCAATGTTGAAAGCAA